CAGTCTTCGGTAGACATGCTTAAGAGGGATGTGGCAACCAGGCTTAAACCTGCATGGGAGGTAAGGAGAGTAGTTAGAAGGCAATTACAGTCAGTACCTCAGGTGAAAAACAGATATATGGACCACCACAGGAGAGGCAGTGGGGATGAAGAACAGGAAAAATCAGAGAAATGTTCATGATTTGGGGCCTCCCTGGTGGCACAAGGGGTTAAGTCACAGCACTATAAAGCTATCCACAGCCACTGCAGCAAGAATTTGATCCCTGACCAGGGAGGTGACCTACATGGTGCAGCAGACCTCTCTTGTCTCACTAGCTGCTCCCCTCAGCAGTGTATTTCAGTCAATCCGCCTGTTCTGCTCCCCACTCTGTCTCTGGTGAGTCCTCTCACCCCCAGACCTCTGGCCTATACCCCAGTTCCTATATGCATAAATAAATAAATCTTAAAAAAAAAAAGAAATTTTCATGGGTTAAAACCACACAGAAAGCATACTATCTGCAAGTGTTCTAAGCATTGACTTATTATTTTCCTATAATGAATAAATTTAATTTGAAAGGGGTAAAATTTTAAAAATTAAATGACTTGATTTTATTGCAGTATCAATTAATGATGTTTTCCTATTGTAAAAATTTGAAGTTGAAATGATACTCTGTTTGTGTGTGTGTGTGTGTGTGTGTGTGTGTGTGATTTGAAGAATTTGAGGAGAGAAGCTTATTAGTACCAGACCATAGATCATAAACACTGTTTTGTGAAAAAAAAAAAAAAAAAAAAAAAAGAGAGAGAGAAATCTTAAGATTCCTTATGTGTTGGGGAAACAGAAAGGAGGGGAAACAGAAGTGGAAGTAAATTTGAGATAAGTAAATACTGGGGATGCAATGTACAATATGATGACTATAGTGAACACTGTTCTATAGTTTATTTGAAAGATAGTATGATGGTAAGTAGATCCTAAGAGATCTCATCACAACAACAAAAAAAATTTTTTTTAGGTATCTATATGAGATGATGGACATTAACAAAACTTATTGTGATAATCACTACACAATATATATAAGCCTAATCATTATGTTGTATACCTTATATAGCACTGTATGTCAGTTATATCTCAATAAAATGGATGAAAGGGATATTTACCACTCAGATGCAAAGTGAGGGACTTGCTCAGATCCTGATTCCTATAAATGGACCATAAAAAAACATTTTGGAAGCTACTAGGGAAAACTGAACATGTACTGGGTGTTAAATAATATTAAGGAATGACTGTACTGGATGTTAAATAATATTAAGGAATTACTGTAAAGGTGTGATAATATTTTGCTTATGTAACAACAAAATCTTTGTTAGCGATACACATTGATGTGTACAGGTGAAATGTTATGTTGGTTCACTAGAGACTGTTGTAAAAACACACCAGGATGGGGCCTCTGTGGTAGTGCAAGGGGTTAAGACACAACCTATGAGGCTGTCTGCAGCCACTGCAGCACGAGTTTGATCCTCGGCAGGCCAAGGAGCTACCCAAATGGCACAGCAGACCTCTCCTGTCTCCCTCACTGCTCCCCTCAACAGTGTATTTCAGTCAGTCTGCCTGTTCTGCTCCCTGCTCTGCCTCTGGTGAGTCCTCTCACCCCCACCCCCTACCCCTGCACCTCTGGCCTGCACACCAGTTCTTGTATGCATAAATAAATCTTTAAAAAAAAAAGAAAGAAAAAAAACCCACTGGGATGGAAAAAATGAAAGTTGTGGTATAAAAGGTGAAATAAGAATGAGAAAATGGTGACAGTAGTTGAAGGTGAGTCATGGAGATTTTTAGCATTCTAGCCTACTCATTTTGTGTTTGCTCAAAAATTTCCACAAAAAATTAAAAACAAATACTATTGGAAAGGCTAAATCTCTTTCTACCCCCAAATGTATGAAATAACTAGACGAGAACATTCTTGCTCTAGTACTTTCCCGAGAAGGGATAGGTGAAGGGACATGGTTTAAGATTGGGTAAAGGTAGAGGAGCCTCAGGGACAGGAAGGTTTGAGTGGTGTTGAAATCAAAGAAGAAACAGTTTCAAAATGGAAGGAGTATCAACTATGTTAAATATTGCAGCTGTCAAGAAGGAAAGAATTAGGATGACTGTATTAGACACAGCAGCAAAGAGGTCACTCCTGACCTTGGCAAGATCAGTTTCAGTGGAGGTGGGAAGATAGACAACTTTTCCAAGTTTGGCTGTGAAGGGGAAGAGAAGGCAAGGTAGTAATCTCTTTTCTCCCCAAAGTGAAAGAAACTAGGGAACTTTTTTTTTTCTAAAGAGTTAATTTATTTATGCATGCAAGAGTTGGGGTGTAGGCTAGAGGTGTGGGGTGGGTAACAGGATTCACCAGAGACAGAGTGGGGAGAAGAACAGGTGGGTCTACTGAAATATACTGCTAAATGGAGCATTGGGCAAGACAGGAGAGGTCTGCTGTCCCATGTGGGTCAGCTCCCTGGCCAGGAATCGAACTCCTGCTGCGGTGGCTTCGGATAGCTTCATAGTGTTGAGACTTTAACCCCTTGTGCCCTTAGGGAGGCCCACAAAGGTTTTTTTTGTTTTTTTTTAGGGAAGTTTTTATAGTTTTTTTTAAAGATTTATTTATTTATGCATACAAGAACTGGGGTGCAGGCCAGAGGTGCAGGGGTGCTGAGAGGATTCACCAGAGACAGAGTGGGGAGCAGATCAGACAGATCAACTGAAATACACTGCTGAAGGGAGCAGCTGGTGAGACAGGAGAGGTCTGCTGCGCCATGTGGGTTACCTTGGCTGGTGGGGGATCAAACTCTTCTGCAGTGGCTGTGGATGGCTTCATAGTGCTGTGATGCAACCCCTTGTGCCACCAGGGAGGCCCCTAGGACAAGTTTTTAATGCTGAGGATGTTTCCATTTGAAAGAGGTCTCTCCACTCCGCAACCCCCCCCAACTCTGACCTGTTCCCAGTTCTTATATGCATAAATAATCTTTAAAAAAAAGGGGGGGGGGGAGGAAAGAAAGGGAAAAAAGGACTGACCGAGTGTGGATCCTTCCTATGAGAGAAACTATTGAGAATAAATTATATGTATATCCAACTGAAACAGATAGCAGAGTGAACTGTGGTTCACTCTCCTAATTTACTGTAACTTGCAATGACTGTTCTGGACTACAGTTTTACTGGTATTTCTCATAGAATACATCTATTAATCTCAGTTATTCTACTGATTGAAAAACAAGATATTTTGGGGGCCTCCCCGGTGGCGCAGCGCTTGAGCGCTGGGTTGCGAAGCTGCGATGATCCCCTGCTGCTGCCGCCACTGCTCCCCTCAGCAGTGTACTTCGGTCCTTCTGCCTGCTCTGCTCCCCGCTCTGGCTCTGGTGAATTCTCTCACCCTCCCGCGCTTCTGACTGTACCCAGTGCTTGTATAAATAAATAATTAAATCTTTAAAAAAAAAGAAAAACAAGATATTTTATGACGGCACTTTGGGCACACCTTTGGATTAAATTATTCTCTTTGTAAACTATTTAAGGGGCTATATACCTTAAAAAATACTTTCCATCTCACCACAAAAATTGATAGAAACTCTACCCTTTTCTTCCATTAGTACTCTTTAATTTGCTGTTCTTGTTCCAATAATTTTCTCGTCCCTCAACCTAAAAAATCCAAAAAGGTTCAAGAATTTGTCTTTTTCCTACCATTACTGACATCTAAGGCGGTCTAGAGCTATATTTCCAAGTTTTATCACCGTTCCAAAAATTATTACGAGCTATTAAAATCTCAGAAGTTCAACTGCACGCGGATACGCTGACTAGGGTTGTACCAAGGTCTGCGAATGTGATATTCTGCATGTGAGGGCAAAGTCCTCAAACGCAGGGTTAGTAGTGGTGGGCGCATGTTTTGGAAATAGGAAGAGAGAAGGAGAAAGGGACCGGGAAACTTTTCTTTCTCAGTGTCCCAGGACAAATTGAGCGCCCCGGCCGCCCCGACGCGCAGGTGTTCCGCCACCTGAGGCCAGGCCGGCTGCGGGGCCGAGGCCTGCCGGGAGACCCCGCCCAGAACAATTCCTTGCGCGCGGCCGCGAGCCCGGAGCGCTCACGCAGCCGCGTTTCACGCAGGATCTGGCCTGTCAGGCGGGAAATCTCGCGAGATCAGAGACTGGGATGACTGTCGGGAGGAGGGGAGTGGTGTTGGGGAAGGGGGGGAACCTGGGCAGCGGCCGGGCTCTGTGGCTTCAGGGCTCGGAGAGAGAGAGAGGGAGGGTGGCAGAGCGAGAGAGTCGGTGCCGCCGCCAGCCTCAGGAGAGAGGAGGGGTCCCATTCGCTTGTGCCCTTAGCGGGCCGAGGGCGCGAGGCACCCGCGAACCTTGAGGCCTCAGGCCCCCGGGGACCCCGCCCCGCAGCCGGCCGGCCGGCCCGCGGCCTCTCCTCTCTTTGTGAGCGCCCCCTTCCCAGGGGTGGTGGTGGTGGCGGAGGGCTGTGCGTGGGCCCTCCCGCCGAGGGGCCGCGGCGGGGGACCGAAAGGGCCTCGGCTGTGTGAGGACAGGAGGCGGCCGAGGCCCGGGCCGGTTTCCCCGAGGAGGCGGCGGCGGCGGCGGCGGCGACTCCCGGCACTTCCCCGCGCCATCTTAGCTAAGCCCCAGCGCCGAGGGCACCTCCTCGACCCCGGTAGTTCCCTCGCGCCCCCCCTCCTTTGCCCCTTGTCGCAGAGCTTGGGCTGGGCGGCTCGCTGGGGCTGGGAGGGGGGGGGCGGCGTTCAGTCGCCAGGCCCCCTCCTCCTCCTCACTCTCCGTGGTCCAGCGTAGCGGCCACCCGAGCGCTGCCAGGGGCTGCGCCTGCCTACTCCGCCCCAGAGCTGTCGGCGAAAGGGTAAGGACACCTCTGCTTTGGGAAAGGGAGACATGGAGGGGGCGGGGAACTCGGCCCTCTCAGGCCTCTGCGCCGGAGGGATGTGGGGGTGGGGTGGGGGAGGGAGACTAGGAGGGTCTGTGATTCTGTGGGTGGGGTGAAGAAGCTGGTGAGCTGGAGCCCTCCCGTTTTGAGGGGCGAGAGCTATTACACTCCCCTTTCCTGAGGGTCACCGGAAGAGGTGGTGGAAAGGGATGTCTGGAGGAAGGTGTGGCTCTCATAGGGAGACTGGGTCGATGTGCACCCCATTTAAAGGCGCGAGGTCCCTTTCCCTTCTGGTCCCCCTGCTCCTCCCTCTCCTCCTTTGTGGTGTCTGTGTAGCCTTGGGAAGGGGGACTGCTCTTCGTAGCCTGCTGAGTAGGTTCCTCCACCACCCCCTCTCTAGAAATCTATACCCCTCTTCTGTAGGGGTGATGGAAGCCTTTCTCCCCCTCCCCATCCCCCTTTGCCATCCTTTAGTCTACTGCAGTGCTGCAGAAGTCCAAGGCAGCTTCTTCATACACAAGACCCGTGTGTACACTGGAGAGCGGGGGAGCTGGAGAGGGAAGTAATGGCGCTTCTCTTGGAAAGGTTACCCTTTTTCCTTTGGTTTTAAATCACTTACAGTATCGGCTTAATACTCTTCTCCTGAGATCTGTCCCTCGGAAGTATACGTTTCTGTTGTTATTGTTGGGGGATATGGCCTATCTACAGCGACCCTGCCATGTTAGAACAGTTTTGCTGTCTCTCTCTGTTAAGCGCTCGATTGACATTTTTTTGCGAGCTTATTGGGTTTTCAATAGCATTCAAAAAATAATTTTTCTTCCTATGTGACTTGTGTATTTCTTGAAGAGTTACTAAAGATGGTTACACACCGACAAGCTGTCCGATGGGCTTTCCTTCTCCCTCAGCTTTGCATTTTTAGGGTTAACACTATTTTGTATGACATTGAAGTGGGAATTTTCTGAAAATGATGAGATTACAACTCTTTCTATAGTGAATACTTTGTTATTTAAAGAAATGAAAAAATAATTTGCTTGATGATGCTCTGATAGGTTATCTTATAGTCATGTTATATTTTTCACTCTTTTTGCTTCATGTCATGTCATATTTGTTTAAAACAAATCATTCTATCTGGTTCACAATAGCACTTGTTTTGTCCTTAGTAGAAATAAAGATTTTTTAACATTCTGGAAATGTGTTGCCAAGTACTTTTTGTCATTAGAGTAGTATTGAAATCTACCATTGGTCCTTTTTTCTTTCATTATTTAGATTTACTGATGAAGTGATTTCAAAATGTTCCATATATAAATATTCACAGGGTTAAATAATTTTTATTTAATAATGAAGTGGTAAAAATGACTAAAATATATAAAGATAGAGTTGTCTTATTATTTTATTTTGATGTTTGAACTTTACTTATTGGGTGACTTATATTTAAGTACTTCCAAGCACCATTTAATTCCAATTAAATGTTGTCCATCAGGGCTTTTTGGGTGTGTTTTGTTGTATTTTGAAACTTGTTTTAAGACACGGATTTAGAGATCTTCAGTGGTAGTTCTAGGCACTTATTTAGTTTCAGTCATCCTAGTTCATGATTTTGATAAAGACACATTTACCATATGTTAAATTAGTTTTATTTTTTTCTCAGAAGATGGAATTTTCCTTGCTTTCTTTATTCCTTTTTGATTTTATCTGAATTCATTTCAACTTTAAACAGCACTACTCCTTTGAGTGGCATGGAGCTGCATGTGATGGTGTATATATAGTTTTCCTCTATATGGCAGATTCTGATTCTCTGTATTATGATTTGTTGATGAAAATAAATCCTATAAACTAGCATATGTAAATCCAATCATACTCTCGGTAAAGAGCAGTATAAAGCTTTTATTATGGAAAGATACAGGTCGAGAGGATTTGTCAGTAAAGGCTACATAACTCAAGGATGTACTCATAAGTAAATTACTTGCTATATTTCAAGCAAGTATATTCATTATCCTTTCTATATTTAGCTAGAACTAAGAGGTACCTTTTAGCACAACTGAAAAGAAACCTTGTTTTCCATAGCTGGTAGAAACCCAGCTCAAAGAGTTGTAAATGCTCCTGATCAATTAGATAAATTCTTTAAAAGGAAAAACGTCTTGAGTGTTATTTCTGCTGATCTCTGATGCCCTCTTAGAAATGAGAATACTGAGAGCTGTTAGTCTGGGTTAGTTGATTCCAAATCAGGATGGTACTTCTTATGTTTCTAAATAGTTCATCTACAAAATGGCAGTGTACATCATCACTTCCTGTTCTTTCACAACTGGCTCTTTCTCTGGATTCCCTTTTAATGACTTAATTTTTGGCATTCTGATATTTTATTAATTTGGTTAAAATTCTCATGCTTTAAATATGGAAGAATTTCTAAGAATCTACTAGGTTTAAAGACTTTGAATAGTCTAAAATGATTTTGATGGTAACTTGCTTACAAGCCATAGTTTTTGCAAATTTAAACTCAGGTTTTAAAGAAATATATCAATGTACAGGACCAAAAATAGAAATGAACTATTGAATAGAATATATAAAATTACATTTTATATAATAGACTTTGGGAAAACTGAATGTGGCAATTAATTGTGTTCTGTAAAACAAACTTTCTGTTTAGCTACATGTTATTTGGCTCTCTGTTATGATGTCATACCACTAATACGAAAGAATTTGATTTAGTTACAGAATACCAGAAAGACTGGATGCTTTTAACTAAACTATGAAGAGTATAATTTAAGAATTTTCTGATACTAAGTAGGTACGAATACATAGTAAATCCAGAAATTATCTGGGGGCCAGTCAATTGTTGGTATTGAAATTAGAGTTGAAATTTGTTAATATAACCTGGAACTAAAATTCTGTTTTTTATTTGACTGGTTTGTGTATTATAGTCCGTTAAATTTTACTTTGTATCTTTTTTTAAAGATTTATTTATGCATACAATAGCTGGGGTATAGGCCAGAGGTGCGGGGGTGGGGTGAGTGAGAGGATTCACCAGAGACAAAGTGGGGAACAGAACAGGTGGATTGACTGAAATACACTGCTGAGGGGAGCAACAGGCGAGACAGGAGAGGTATGCTGTGCCATGTGGGTTAGCTCCCTCCCTGGCCCAGGATTGGACTCCTGCTGCAGTAGTTGGGGAGAGCTTCATAGTGCTAACACTTAACCTCTTGTGTCACCAGGGAGGCCCTTTGTATCTTATCATCAATAATCTTTACTAAGGATAATTTATTGCACTCATCCTAATTTAACCTTTTAGAAATTAAGAACTTTTTCGTATTTATTAGTTAAGGACTGCTGCTTAGTTCAGGATCTCATATGAATTGTGTATAAAATTGAGATTATTCCATTAAATAGAGTGCCAGCAGGTTTGTCTGCCATTTGTTTTGTGTACTTATTCATGGGTGGATTATTTTATATTTTTTATTTTTAAAGATTTATTTATGCATACAAGAACTGGGGTATAGGCCAGAGGTGGAGGGTGGGGGTAAGAGGATTCATTAGAGTCAGAGTGGGGAACAGAACAGGCAGATTGACTGAAATACACTGCTGAGGGAAGCAGCAGGCGAGGCAGGAGAGGTCTGCACCATGTGGGTTGCTCCCTGGCCAACCGGAATCGAACTCATGCTTCAGATAGCTTCACAGTGTTGTGCTTCACATGATGTGAATCGAACTTATGCTTCAGATAGCTTCCCAGTGCTGTGCTTAACCCTTTGTCCCACAGGAGAGGCCCATAGATGGATTATTTTTGATAAGTCTTCAAGATTTCATATTCTTTTTTTTTTAAGACTTATTTATTTATGCATACAATAACTGGGGTACAGGCTAGAGGTGCAGGAGGTGAGAGGAATCACCGGAGACAGAGTAGGGAACAGAATAGGCAGAGAGACTGAAGTACACTGCTGAGAGGAGCAGCAGGCAAGACAGGAGAGGTCTGTGGTGCCATGTGGGTAGCTCCCTGGTCAGCTGAGGATCGAACTCATGCTGCAGAGGCTGTGGACAGCTTCACAGCGCTGCGCTCAGCCCCCTGTGCCACCAGGGAGGCCCAAGATTTCATATTCTAAGTGGAAAAAGATACCAGTATTATTTCATTCCATTATATTCCATTATTGGATTAAAGTATATTAACTTTAAGCGGTACAAATAATGCTTTATTTTATTTTAAAGATTTATTTATTTATGTCTACACGAGCTGGGGTATAGGCCAGAGATTTGAGGAGTGCGCGAATTCACCAGAGACAGAGTGAGGAACAGAACAGGCAGACTGACTGAAATGCACTGCTGAGGGGAGCAGCAGGCGAGACAGGAGAGGTCTGCCGCTCCATGTGGGTAGCTCCCTGGCTGGCCTGGGATTGAACTTGTGCTTCAGAGGCTGCGGATTGCTTCATAATGCTGTGCTTAACTCCCTGCACCACCAGGGAGGCCCTAATACTTAATTTTATTAAAGATGTTAAATACCAGGCCTCTCTGGTATAGAGATTAAGTCTCAGCACTATCAAGCTATGACTAGCCATTGCAGCTTGAGTTCCATCCCTTGCCAGAGAACTAACCCACATATGATGCAGCAGACCTCTCCTGTCTCCCCCGCTGCTCTTCTGAGCAGTGGATTTCAGTAAATCTGCCTCTTCTGCTCCTCACTCTGTCTCTGGTGAATCCTTTCATCCTCCCCACTCCTCCTCCCCCACACCTCTGGCTTACACCCTAGTTCTTGTATGCATAATTAAATAAAAATAAATCTTAAGGGGCCTCCCTGGTGGCATAAGGGGTAAGCACAGCACTGTGAAGCTATCCCAGAGGTCTAGAGTTCGATCCTGCCAGCCAGGGAGCTACCCATTTGGCGCAGCAGACCTCTCCTGTCTCTCCAGCTGCTCCTCTCAGCAGTGTGTTTCTCAGTCAGTCTGAATGTTTTATTCCCCACTCTGTCTCTGGTGACTCTTCTAACTCCCTGCACCTCTGGCCTGTAACCCAATTCTTGTGTGCATAAAAAAATAAATCTTTTTTAAAAAACTTAAAAGATGTGTCATGCCTTTTAAAAAATTCACATGAATTGAAAAGTTGTCTGGAGGGACTGGAAACAATAATTTTCTATTGGGATTTATCTGTCAACATTTGTTAAGTCCTTTTTTTTAAATTAAAGATTTATTCAGTAGCTTCATAGTGCTAAGACTTAACCCCTTCCTCCACCAGGGAGGCCCTGTTAATTATTTCTTTATCACTTTTCCATTTGTGCTAGAAGCAGACTTTTTGTTCTGAAATACAGAATAGGGCTGCATTTTTTTACCTAGTGACAAAATTAAGTGACTCATAAAAGGTGAAAAGGTTTTTCAAAATATAAGTAACTGGCATCTAAATAAAAGTACAAGTTAACATAATATATACCTGTTAAATGTGCTAAAAGTGGTATAGTTATTTAATCATAATGGCTTTTAATTGACCAAACTTTATTTTACTTATTTATTTTTTTTTTATTTTTTTTTAAGATTTATTTATTTATACAAGAACTGGGGTGCAGGCCAGAGGTATCAGGGGATGAGAAGAGTCACCAGAGACAGAGTGGGTAG